CTGGGCCTGGCAACAAACCAAATGCAATGAGAAGCTGAAAGAAACATTACATAGCATTAAACATATACATGTCCTTACAAAAGTGAGCAAGACAAAATTTAAAAAGAAAGAAGTAGCCAACTACATCTAAAATGTATTAAACACAAATATTTTCTTTCTCTTCTACGGTCTGTTCCCAACCTATCTTTCTAGCCTGGCTTGTAAATGACCTTCACATTATCCCTTCAGTTGCACCGCACTATTCTGTACCCAAATTAGAGACATATTTTCTCCTCCAAAGAGTGACTGTTCTTTGATTGAGAAGTCTTCTCCAATACCTCCCTACAGGATAAAAGTCCTTGGCTCTCAGGGCATTCTGTTTGGCATTTATTTTCTTTACTTTCTCTCAGACTTTACCATCGATGCTTACAATAAGAACCTTCCCTTATTTACCCTGGATTCTATACTATAAAATGATCAAACATGATCTTTAGAATGAAGTGAATAACTTGTCACTAGAAATCACTTAAGTAAATAGGAAGAGCATACACTCTGTATGTCCATGAGGTATAATAACATCCACAATGCTGTTTAATAAAAAAGCAAGAAGGCAGAATTGGTTGGGGGCTTCGCTGTTGTGGGTGGTTGGCTAGTTTGGTTTATAGGTAAGGGCACGGTGACATAGCGTGATTAGATAACTTCTTTAATATCATTAAACAACTCACAAAGTGACAGTCATAACTGAAACCAATGTTTCTGGATTTCTGGTAAACCACAATGTTTCTACTTATTTTGCACAGTGTAATTCACTCTCAATTAGCCAAAAGAATAATTCCACCCTCTGCAAATGTCTTACAAAGAATGGAAAAGAACTCAGGGGATTTTACCTCCATTAGCAGAACGAAGTCCAAAAGAAAGGCAATGTGCTATAAAGGGAAGAGCGCTGCTTTTGGAGTCAAGTCAGCCTATGAATCCCAGCTCTACCAGGCATGCCACCACGAGCATTGTTAACTCAGGCCACCTCCCTGGCCCTTTATCCCCTACCAAAAACAGGTGTAAGAATCTCTAGTGCCCCTTCTCCCCCACTCCACAGTGTTTTCTGTGAAGTAATGATAACGTGTGAAATCTAGCCCTACACCTGGCACGTAGTCAACTGTTTGTTGACTTTTAAATAAAAAGCTATATTCAAAGGCCTGTGTGTGTGTGTGTGTGTGTATATGTGTGTGTGTGTGCGCGCACATTTGGAGAAGAAAATGCATTGCTATCATTTTTATGTGGTCTGTGCATTAAATAACTTTGATATAGCCATATTTTTAAAATTCGCCATATTACATGTGGTGCCATTCTCACTCTCTCTCCAACTTACAATCACAGTTATTAATACTCTAAAGACAGCTTTAACGGTTTGACTTTCTAACATGCTGCTAATGAAACACCAAAAGAGAAATGTGTCTAAGTTTGCTTTTGGAATTCTTGCAAAGGAGAACTTCTTTGCATTTAGTATGGGAAATGTTTCATGCTATAACAAGCAAAAGTGGGAATATTGAGTCTTGATCTTACATTATAGTGATTTTATTCTTCAAAAAATAATATGTTAAGAGGGGGTGAGGGGGTGAAAATACTCCTTATCTAAAAAGCACAGAAACTTGTTACTTTAACAGTTGGCAAAACCTATAAGCCCTCCACATCTTCATCTTCTTTCTGAATTGTTTATATGCTAGTAGACTCCAAGGGGAGTATATTTAGTAAAAATAGCATGCATCTTGAGAACTGAGGAGCTAGTGAAGTCACAGTTATGCTAAGTATTAGCTGTGGGACTTTGGCAAATTCATTTAGCTTCTTTGATCTTTTTTCTTATCCAAAAAAGGGAGTTATAATAGATTGACTACTCCAGGGTCTGGATGTGAGAGTCAAATTACATAGAACATGTAAAATGCAAAGTGTTTTCTTAGCAAAGGGAGCTTTATTGTTACCACTATAGTTACTACATTATAATTATATTATCACAATTATAATTACCTAAGCTTTAGTTTCTTAAAAGAAAGTAAATGCTTGCTTTTAATCATTTGCTTTCATCACCACCTGAGATGAAAATGATGCTCCCACGCTCCAAAGCAAATAAGGAAATCACAGCACTCCTACCAGAAAGGCTTTATTCGGAAGTCAGAATTGTATGGTTTCAAATCCAATTCACTACACTTGAAACACACTACATGAAGCTGAAGTTCTCATGCTGTTATGGTTTCTTTCTTAAATTTGGGGCTTCCCTGAAGCGGAAGTGCCACACCCAAGGGCCCAGAACAACAAGACAAAACTCTTACTATTATCATATGCATTTACAGTGCTCTAGGGTTTTCAGGCTATTTCTCTTTATTCTTCACATCAATCTTGTGATTCCATTAAGATGGGTACCTGAAGCACAGGAAGAGCCTCATGAAAGACCAAGGAGTCTGCCGGCATCTACATCATCATTAAGAGGTGGTACCTTGATGCACGAGAGGCTGGTTGATCCCCCAGCACATGCAATGATCCCTTTTTCCCCTAGTAGCCCAGAGCCAGCAGTCCCTTTTATTTTTGTCAGTAACACTTCCTTTTTTGTTCCTCTCCCACCAAGGAGGAAGTACATCACTGACACAGACACAATACACCTTTTCATAAGGAAGCAAATGAATATGTGCCAGATGGGCTGGGGGGATTACAGCATGTTTCCTGCTCCCATGGTGACTCAATGGGGCTGGTATGAGAACTTATCTTATTTACAAAGTCAGCTTCCCCACCAGAACTATGAGTCACAGTTTCTGGGTAGAAAGATCACTTTCCACCAGAATTTGGAGTGGGGGGAGGGGGCTCCTTGGATGGATTCCAGTAAAGCTCATTAAGATAAGCAACACTGCCAGGACTACTGGGGAGGCACCAGCACCCACTAACTTCTGAGGCTTCACTGTTCCTTCAACAAGACTAACACGGTCACCTCTCCCTTTTCCAAGATAAGGCAGCACATAAAACCACATTGATGAATTACTGCTATGAATCCAAACAAGTTCCATAATAAAATTGGCCAATTTGGCGAAAATAGATGTGAAGGGTGAGATCTATATCTATATCTATCACTAGATATAGATATATATAGATAGATAGAGCGATAGATAGATAGATGATAGATAGATAGATAGATAGATAGATAGATAGATAGATAGATAGATACAGGAGAGAAAGAGAAGAGGGATAAGAAGGGAAAGGAGAAGGAAGGAAGGAAGGAAGGAAGGAAGGAAGGAAGGAAGGAAGGAAGGAAGGAAGGAAGGAAGGAAGGAAGGGAGGGAAGGAGGGAGGGAGGAAGGGAGGGAAGGAAAGGAAAAAAACAAAGAAACAAAGAAGAGAAGAAGACAGGGTTGGGGGAAGAAAAAAGAGGAGAAAGATGGAGAAGGAGAGGAAGGGGAGACAAAGAGGAGAGAACAGAAAGTTAATATCAAGAAATAATAAGTGTTAAAAAAGAAATTATAAGTGATATGAAGAAAACTAAAGCAGGATAGAGGGATAAACACTGATTGGAAGAGCTATTTTAGTTATGATGGTTAAGGAAGGCCTCTCTAAGCAGATAACATTCAGACATAGAATTAAATAAGAACAAACTATAATCAGGGGTTATAGTCAGCATATTTAAAAATCAGGATGTCATGCACTGACCAGTCAAATGGGACACTCAGTGAAGGCGGACAGATGCTTGTCTAAACAGGCAGTTGAGCTGAAGACTATTGTATCCCAGCTGAATATCAGCCTTCGTCATAATACATGCTTTGCTCTGTGAAGACCCCAGGGGTTAACAAGATTGGAAGTTATCTCTACTTTGCTCAGCTTTGAGCTGCACTCTGTCCTACTTATACCTCGCCTTTAGTACTATTTTTGGTTTCCAATAAAATGCTCGAAGTGGCATAGCAAAACTGAAACACACCCACCCAGAAAAGATAATCAGTATGGTAGGAGGACGCAAATCCATGTCATGCGAAGAACGGACGAAGGCATATATTAAAGAAGATGGTCATGGTTATATGATCACTGTTTTAACATTTCTGAAGGCTTCTCATGTAGAAGAAGAAATAAAGTAATGATAACCAAAGTATAGGCCACGATCTTCAGGGGAATTATACATGGAAAGCTTTTTCAAATTAAGATACCTAGGTTCCTTGCATTAAAATTACAAAACCATTGGATTACGTTTTTTTTTTGTTTGTTTTGTTTTGTTTTCTATTTAAATCAAGCCGTTGAACCAAAGAAATGCAGGGAAATGACAAAGAGACAAATTTCAGTTCTATGTACTAAAATCATTCTAAGAATCTGATCCATCCAAAGACATAATGGGCTTCAATTAGATAATTACTAGTTAGAGGTACTATAGAATTGTTCTGAACAGTAATCCTGGAGATGAGAGGAGACCTGAATAGATGGAATTTTAAGTTCCTGGTAACTGATTTCATATAATCCCATCTGTGATGATTAAATTTGGTTATTCAAATTTAATAAAGGTTTTAGCTGGCTCCCCTTATGAAGCAAAGAAAGCATGAGCTGAATGACAGGTCCTTTCCTACATAAGCAGTGTGACAGAAATCCATCATTTATTTGCTTTTATAACGTCTCAAATCACCAAGACCTCTCCACCACTGGCACAAGTTTAGAAAACAGAGTTGTGCTACCATCACTCTATTTTTCTTTTCCCATAGGACCCGAGGTAAGGAAAGGAAGCAAGATTCTAGTTGGCTTGGACGTGAAGGTGATGGAAAATTCCTATATTTAATTACACACCAGACCACTGCCCTGAGTGCACTGTGTCCCATGAAGACTAGAGATGGCAGTGGTTCTTCCCATCATCAAAATTCTATGATTCTGTCAAATTAATGATTCTGTGCTGCCACAGAAGACAATGGAAATAAACATTATGTTCTCTTAATTCATTTTTAGAAAAAACTTCAGACATTACCCTATGCATGACTTGTATTTCAATAGATTGTCAAAAGCCATTCACTTACCTGAAGCATCGCTTTGCAGGATCCCATAGAAGTAGAGACTCATTACACACCATAGAAGTCCCATCTTGTCAACCTAAATACAAAAGTAAGGGAGAGTACTTACTACTTTCAAGTGCTTAAATAATATTTAGTGCATATGCATGCTGACTATTGACTAGGGAGTTTTCTAAGAAATTTACAATATTAACAAATTTAACTGTCAGAACCAACCAATAAAGTATGCTTTTAGTTAAAAAAAATCTATCTTATAGATAAGGAAATTGAGACAAGTTTAAAAAACATAACCAAGATCCTTTGGGTAGAAAGTGGTAGAGTAATGATCAAACTCCTCCTGCAGCCTGCTTCTATAACTATTCCTTAATCACTGGACTATAACTGCCTACTTAAAAAATACTCTCAGGAATTTTTTCATGCGAGTCACATTTCTGGCAGATAAATTCAATCTTCTTAAGGTTCTTTGCATTCCGTTGGTCTATTCCTAATTGAAAATATTTTATAACCCAGGCACTTCTCCTGCTTCATGATGAATAGAAAGTCTAGAAATCCTGAATTCAGATGTGGTTGGCAGTCTACCACACTCTGAATCTATAGTAAAGGGAAATATATAAACTCCATGCCCTGTTGTACCCACTCTCCTCACTCAGAAAGACAAATGATGAGGCTGGAATCCAAGTCCTGTGATCTTTCGCCTTTCTGCTGATAACCAACTTAAACAGCCAACTAGCAGGAACCATGCCCTTGCATTTGTTGTGTGATCTTTAACGCAGAAGGCCTGGAGATTTAACAAGTCTGTGAAATATTTCTTTCCCTGCTACTCTAGATATATCTGACCCCTGATAACACCTCTCTAGGGTTATAAACACTGAAGCCTGGACATTACTGAGAAATTCTATATTCAAGATCTCTGCTCCCTGTTTTGAACACAACAGCCATATATAAGGGTGCTTATATATGGAAGCTTGTCCAGATCACATTTCTAGTAAATGACAGAGATGGGATTTATACCCACATCTGCCCAACTACAAGTCTATGATCCTAAACATTAGCATGTGCCACGAGTTTCACAACCACAGGGGACCACCAGCCTAAAACAATCAAAGGTATTTGGTAAATAGGGTCACCATATAACAGCGTTTAACATGGGACACTTTCAAGAGTGCTACACTGAAACAAAAGGCATAAACTGGGGCTGTCTAAGCAACCTCAAGTGCGTGGTCACCTTAAAGAACAATGCAAGTGTCCAACACCTGTCACCTCTGTTGACCACACATCATCAAAAATCTCTGGTTCATATTGTTCTTCCTTTTCAGCACTACTGTACACAAATCACAGGTGAATGTATTATATCTTAAACAACTGATTTATCTCAGAGATTAAATGTCTCATTCTTATCACCACCATTTCCTTCCAGTTCTTATACTATTACCTTGGGAAACTCTTCTCCCCATCAGTCTTTCATTTATTCAACAAAACACGTGCTGAACACTTTCTGTTTATTAGTCACTATGATATAACTGCAGGGGCCTCTGGTAAGTTAAATGTAGGGCCTCCTCTGAAGGCACTTCTCCCCCCGTAGAGGAGATAAACCACATGCAAACCATCTCAGTATCATCAACTATGAACACTACACATGCAGAGACACTACAGGATATGCAAAGATTTATCAGACAGAAGTTCTAGCACTAGGCAGAGTCGAGCAGAGACTTAAAATGTGTACAAAAAAATAACAGCAATACAAAGTAAACAGTGATAGAATAGAGAGAAACAGATAAGTGTCATTGAAGTGTAGCAAAAGAAAGAGATGACTCCAGCTAATGTGAAGGCTAATCAGAAGAGAGCTTTTGAACTGAACAAGAACTGGTTTGGCAATTTAGAAGTGAGGCAAAAGGAAAGTGTGTGGGGAAGGAAGCTCTGTGGAGAATAATGCTCAAAGATAGGGAGAGCAGGGACCATACGCATGGACCATACGCAGGAGATACTCTATAAATAATTCAGTTTGGCTCAAGTACAGGGTGTTAGGAAAAGAACTATAGAAGGTTCAGAGAGTGTTAGGATTACAATATAACAAGGCCTTGAATAACATGCTAAGAACTTGGGATTTCATTTAAACAGCAAATAGGGAATCACTAAGGATTCTGATTAGAGGAGTGATATGATCATCAGCTTCTGCCTCATGGAGATCATTCTTCCAGGCACAAATTGGATGGATTGTCAGTAAATTCTGCCTTGAAATCATTTTTTCCTCCTGAGTCTGTCAACATGATAACTGTGATCCTCCTAGCTTTGTGTCATCCATAAACTTGCTCAGCATGCCACCTATGTCCTCATCCACATCATTAATAAAATTAATTAATAATCCTGCATTAAACCTTGTTGGTAGAGAGCAACTAGATAGGCCATTGCAAATTCAGGACACGGTACTTTCAGCCCCAGTACTATTCCTAAAGCAACACTTAGAAGACATTCTAATTAGTGTGATTGAGGACCATAATTGATATTCTCACGAGTAGCTGGATTATGCGAGAGGCAGCAAGGAGTCAGGTCACCAAGGCAAAGCTCATCTAAAGATAACCTGTGTGCAAACACAAATCCTGCCCTGTGATGAATCAGAAATAAGCAGAAAAAAAATATGTGATCGTGTAGGCTGGTTTTCACAGACTAAGCAAGGTTAGTGGGAGGCAGTTGGCTAGTGTGAGACCTCTCCAAGAAGGCAGGTTCATTTAACATCAACTTGCCTTGTGCCTTGGAATTTTATTCTTGTGACCAGTAACACATTTTGGTTCTTGTTTCTTGGGGGAAGGGAGCATTGAGGATTTTCAAAGATGGAGAAACTGTCAGAAAGCAAAGGACTCTGCTTAATAAGGCATGGCTTCTCATGGTCTGAATTACAACCTAGCTTTAGATGACTGTGGTGGGGTTTAACAGACTCTGCCCTTGCCTCAGATGATTGGAACCTACATATAATAAATTTCCAGTCAGCCTTTCCTGCATTATCCATTTTATTTACTATGCGATCATTTTCGTACTTCCGCTCTGAGATATTGATACTTCTCTCATATTTCATGCCATGAATTTCCTGTTATATCAACTTGGATGCTTATGTCGCCTGCTGTGAAGTTTCAAATATGTACTTAGTTCTATGTAATCGACAGCGATGTTAATGACGATTGTTAGATTGTTAACTTGTGCTCAGCACTTTAATATAGCACCCTGCCTATTGATCTTTCTTTTGTCTGCATTCTCTAGGCTTAATAAGCGTCAGGATCTCCTTACCCCTGAGTTAGCCCTGACGACTGGAGACTCTCACTGGGCTAGCAGGGAACAGGGTAAAACTAGATGTGTTGCCCTAAGTACTGTCATTTTTCTGACTCACTATTGGTTTAGCCTTCCTTCTGCCCAGCAACATTTCACTAGCCACAGGACTGGATTTCTTCCTCAGTTTCCTGATTTCCCATTCAGCTCCATACTCAGATCACAACTACTCTTTGTAGCCCATCAGCCTGGTTGGGGCTTGGGCTTTCAACCAGCTGTTTGTCAGCACTCTTTTCTAGGTGCCTGCATCTTGTCCCATGGAAGGTCTTGCTGGCTAAACCTCCTGTAACCATGAAGCTACTATCATCTGCTTCATTCTTCGTCAACAGATGTCCTCTACTAAGACCTGCCCACTGAAAACTTGGTCATTACCACCAAGACACCACATGGCCATCCCCATGTGAGGTCAGTCCTGCAGCCACATCACATCCTCGAGTACCGATCTGATCTAGACCCTTCCTTTTCTCTTCTCTAACTTACTGATAAAGTTTGAGCAGGTCTTGCACACCTACAACAAACCAGACTTTGAAGGACATGTGACACATTATGAATGTAATTTTACAGAAAAGCAGATAGCACTTATTAAGATATTAGAGTTAATTTCATTATCAATCCTTATCTAGTTTTTTGAACCAAAAAAAGTATCCTTGAGCAGAATATTTCAGAATCCAATATTTATCAGTAAGCAAAAGTTTTGGCAAAGCGACATGAAAGGCTCTGATTCTGGGTAAAATGAAGTACACATCTTGTCTTTCTCAGTGAATGCAGCTATAAACCTAGGCAGAATGTATGGAGCGACTATTTGAGGACTTTAAAAAGTATATAGGGCAGCAGGTTAGCTCAGTTGGTTAGAGCGCAGTGCTCATAACACCAAGGTTGCCGGTTTGATCCCTGCATGGGCCACTGAGCTGTTCCCTCCACAACTAGATTAAAACAACTACTTGACTTGGAGCTGATGGGTCCTGGAAAAACACACTGCTCCCCAATTAAAAAAAAAAAAGAAAAAACAAGGAAAGAAAAAAGAAATACTAATAAACAATAATAAATGGAAAAAAAGTATATAACTGCACATTCTTTTCAAGTCATAGAGAACATTCACCAAGATAAGCCATATAATGCACCATAAATTACACCTTAACACATTTAAAAGAATTAAAAGTGTACTCTAACTATTGGATTAAACTAGAAATCAATAAAAGAAAAATAACAGGGAAATCTCGAAACTTTAAAAATTAAGCAATATGCTACTAAATAATCCATGGGTCAAAAAGAAAGTCTCAAGGAAACTAGAAAATATTTTGAACTAAACAATAATGAAAATACAACACAAAGATATTTGGGATATTGTTAAAGCAGTGCTTACAAGATAATTTGTAGCATTAAAGGCTTATGCTAGAAAAGAAGACCTTGAGTCGATAATCTAATCTTCATCTTTAAGAATTTAGAAAAAGAGAAAAACAAGCAAACCAAGCAAAATGAAGAAAATAATGAAGAGTAGAGATCAAAAATTTTAAAACAGAAAATAACTAAACAAAAAATAAAACGAAAAGTTGGTACTTTTGAAAAGAACAATAAAATTGCTAAACCTTTGGCCAGGTAAACAAAGAAGAAAATATATACACATATCAACAATATAACGAATGAAAGCGGGAACATCACTACTGGTCACACAGGTATTAAAATGGTAATAAGGCAATACTAAAAATTTTAAGCACATAAATTCCACAATTTGGGTGAAATAAACCAATATTTTTAAAACTA